GAACACCTGGAAGACAAGGCAGTGGAATGGTAGGTCACCAATGAGTCGATATCTCCCACATCGTTTTCGTAGGCCCTCCATCCTAATCGAAAAGTGGAGTGCGTTTGCAATAATAAGTCCTTCCAGAATGCGCCGTGCCTTTGACAGGGGTTAATAAGTAGGTCTATCTACAAGCATATCTGAAGCATATGGTTGCGGAAATAACAAGCACACAGTGTTTCCTGCCCGTAACCTTGGCACTAGTAACCTGATCCCGTGTTGAAAAAGCGATCGGCTCTCCTTTACGAGATACCACTAACTGGAAACGTAATTTATATTATTTTGCAGTGGGACCACGCGAATAGCGCCGTTTCTGCCCTTCACTTGAACACATATTCTTATTCAGGTCGCCATCAACGATTGTGGCCCCTTGTTCACTGGAAATTCAGTCGACACCTAGACGTTATCCCTAAAGTCGGTCGGGGAAGAGGTGTAAGAGTTGCCCACTGAGGGGTGACTAAGGCAGCGTTCAGACTTAGCGACTGAAGCACTGCCGTCGCGAAGTCTGAACGCTGCCTAAGTGGCTAGCGCCATGAAACCTATGAGTCGCTGGAATGCCCCGAACGTCTTCACTGATGACGACTGCATAAATTCTTATTTCAATAACAATGCATAGATTGCAATCATGGAATGTTTCTTAAAGGCATGAAAATCGCCTGATCCTGCCAGAGAACTTCTGGCTTTTTTAAGATTTGCGCGTAGGACCAATAGAGCAATGATGCACAAAATCATTTCCCCGCATGATATCGAAGGATTTCTGGACGCTAATAACATTGCAGAAGTATTCAAAGGACTCCTAGTAAAAAACTGGCATTAACGTCATCGGTACTGAATACAGTGCTCGAAATAACTCACCCCCGTGAGCTTTTTCCCTCTTTTAGGCTAAGGCGAAGTCCCTATCCATTACGGTAAATCTTGTCCTGACAACTAGGTCCTTTGATAGCCCTTTCCTATGTTAATCCTGAGACTCATTGAGTCGTCATAATGAACGACTGAAAAGCTTCATTCCGATCGACTAAGTTAAAGGACATTTCAGTTAGGATTGGTAGTCTATTACTAACTCCCTATTGAAGCTAGAATTAGCTAGCTCGAGAGGAGCACGAAGTCGTCCTCAACGCCAAAGGCGGAATCACCCTTTCCTTGACGGTTACTGTATAAAGATAAACAGTACCAATCATTTAATATGTACTGTCTATAATAATGAAACAATAGTAATGAAAAGTTATAATAGAGGCAGTTTCAATGGAGAAGAATTTTCATTGTATCTCAAAAATTCGAGAGGGGAATTTCCATTGAACTTTGAAAACGGAAGTCGAGAATCTATACCCACTTGAAGACAGGAAAGCGAGGCTGAACTGAAAGTCTAAATGTGATCAGATAACCCAAGGATTTTGACAAGCTCCAGAGAGAGCAAATAGCTAACCGGCATAGCAAACAACAAACATCGAGTGAAACGCTGGACAGAAGGGCCAGCAGCGGAAATTGGTGGCGGAACAGCTGCGGCTAAAGCCTATTTGTTTCGGATAATTGAAACTGTTCCTCAAAAAAAGAAGGAAGAACTCACATTAACCCGACATTGTGACTTCCTAGACATGGGCTGGGCTGTTCGAGGGGAGTCGGATGGATCATGGCCCTTCTGTCCAAGGACTAATCAGCGAACTTTGGGACATCATTCATGCATTTCGGCGAGCCAGATTGTTAGGGAGGGAGGTAGTTTCTCTCAGGTACAACATGAAAACAAAATTGGGGAACACAGCGTAAATTGGCGCACGCAAACAGCTTCTCTCCTTTTCGAGAAAAGTACATTAGAACAGCATTTTTACTCCCTATCCCTCTGGTTGCCGGACAGGTAACAGCATGCCGTCTGTGTCAAACAAACCATGCGGGGGGGTTGCAGACCTTAAATGGGGGAGTCGTGCTATTTGCCATGTGGAGAGGGGTCCGTATTTTGTAAGTTCCACACAACATTTATTTTGATAGTTGATTGTTTTTTGTGGAAAGGGGGGTCGTATTAGGTTTTTTTGTTTTATATGCAGCATATATACGTGCTGTACGAACGCCCGTGGGATATCGTTGCATAGTTATTGTATTACCCCCGGCGCCCCCCCCCCCCTCCTCGAGAACTTTTTTCGGCGAGCTATATCACTCATCGCTTGTCGTCGGCGAGAAAAGCCGTTAGAGGTGGAGGGGGGGGTCGTGAAACAGGATCCGTCGTTTCGAGTGGGGGGGGGGTCGTACTAAACCGACATTTCGCACATCCACCCGATGCTATACTCCTGGTTCGCTGCGGATGAAGCGTGCCAAGCAGCGTGAGTGTGCCAGAGCGCCAAACCCGCTCTGTGCCATTTGTTGAAGCCCGTATGCGGCAACAATCTGTAGAAGCGAGTGAGCAAACGACAAGATACAGTCTTTTCACTTGCTTACTCCAAAAAATAATGGATAACAGATTTAACACCGCGCTAAGCCCGTCCCCCCTGACACGCCCTACGTCCGCAGCGAACTGGACTTATATAAGTCCATTCCCAGTCATATACTATCGAGGAGATTGTAGGTGTACAGTCTACATCGCCCCGGGAAGACACAGCGGGCAAAACAGGAGAGGTAAACCAGATAGAACCTAACGAGAACCCATATTATCACAGAGCTCAGTAGATGCCACCCCTCTCCACTCTTTTATCTTATTAAGCGATGATTCTAACGAGCCTACCCAGAGCTATTTCTTTTTTAGTCGCATAATTAGCTGTTCTGATATAATGGTAAAGTTTAGAAGACATCAGTGAGGAACGTTAACGCAGAGGCAATCTTATGCAGACCAGCCTGTGTAACAAAGGAGCAGTGAATGAGCAGTACCTTCTTATGCAGACTGTTATGCGGACCAGAAAGTGTAAAAGTATTCGAAAGCTCATGCATTCGCATGGACTTTGTCACAGAGCCTGGAGTTATTACTCACAAGAACTGCGTCAGCTGGTCACAGCCATGGCACGGTCCACAAATAAGACTACTGACAGCCGTCTCCAATGATCCAACGGAAGATATACGTGCAATAACGAATGACTGAAGGGACAAAGGTTCAAGAGTCGACCATGCACCTTTGTGGGGCAATTCGATGTCCAACATTTCCTCAATTCAGAATCATAGTGAACATCTAAATGCGATGGATCCTAGGCAATTAAGGCACACCTCGCGACTGCCAGCCCGTACCTAAAGCCTTCAGTTTCAGGGAAAAGATAGTGTGGACAGCAATGAACTGAACCGTTGAAACCATCTGGGGGTAATGTTTGATCGTCTCGTCCCAAGTACGAATCTTCCTCATGACCCTTTATAAACTGTTCAGAGCACTCTAGGGACGACCCAAAGAAAATTTCGCTAGTCCCATAACACAGCACAACTCCAACATAGCTCGAAAAGCTGGCTACTTGAAGAACGCATAGATCGCCATTGTCAGCAGGCTCCCCCTCTACCCATTTTATGGGGGTGGGTCCTACATGTCAACTCCTTTCTTCACGGCGTCGCGCACCATAAGTTCCTACGGAAGGAACAGTGACGATTATTTGGAGGTTTGGAAAGGAAATGTGCAGGTCGTATATGTACTGAATACTCTGAACAAACGAGTGTGCACTAAATGCATGGCGCTTCTAGTAGGGTAGCTCGAAAGGTAATGCCCTTCTGTTTCTTGTCTTCTATCTTGCCGGCATAATTAATAATATCTCGCGATCACTCGGCCGGCTCTAGGAGGATTCTCCACCAGGTTGTCGTTTGGAATGGTGATACATCTTTCTATGAACCGCGCCGATAAGCAGAGGCCGCTGAGACGCCAACGAGCAAGCTAGCGCGGTCCACGTGGCGCGGCGGACACTTCTACGGCGCGAAGCTGGAGACAAGGGTATGTGTGGTTCACACACAGGCCAACCACACTGCACTGTACCAAGCCCATCGACCTTCGTATGTGGGCGAACGGCCAAAAGAACTAACAGAGACACACGGTGCCGATCTCGGAAACAAGGCTGGCCTGCAGTTGAGGTCATGCCTAACACAGCATTAAGAGTGGGATGAACCTAATCACCCCCCCCCCTTGATGCTATAATTTGCCAATACAACTGTTTGCGGCCAGTCTAATTAAGGCGAGTTCCTCGTGTTCTCCACGCGGTCCCTTTTCCGCAATTTCGCGCCGCGGGCTCTGACTAACCATAAGATCGACAACCAAACCAACGTACCCTCTGACGACTGCGTCATTTATTAGCCTGTCTTTTCTTACCTCCTCCCTCCCTGAGCTCAACGGCCTCATTGCAGTGAGTTTGCAAAAAAAAATCACCATTACATATTACTAGCCATCGAAGCGTAATGCAAATATGAATACCAAACAAATGCATGAAAGTTAGTAAAAGTCCACAATGAGAATTGTATCCCTGTACAAATAACACATTCTATGAACGCAATAATTCCACGCTATTACATTTGAATGAAAGGATAAGAAAGAAGTCTTCGCCGTTGATCAACCCCTTTGTGGGATGCGCCATGCGTTCCACTTCCATTCAGAATCATAGTGGCTTGTTGATGTGCGATGTGGCGTATACAATGACTTGTAGCAGGGATAGCATGTAGAAGTCAGTGTTCTTATCCTCCGGCACGAAGTCTGCTGACCAAAATTACCGTCCCCGGAGAATAGAAGGTTGGACCGCACGAGCGGAGTCGACTCGGGATTTAATCCCAGGACCGCACGAGTGGTTAGCGTGCCACTTGCCACTACACCACCTGCTCTCCTCATATAATTACAAAAATTACAAGTCAAACCTTCCCCACATGAAGACGACATTCTAATTACACATAACAAGAATACACAAACATTCGGTAATGAACTTGAAAACTACAAAAATACCTTTCATTTTCTGGATACTATAAAATAGTAACGAATACAACTGCAGTTACTCGGACCTCAAAATTAGTATTAAAAGTAGTGACTGTCATCCAGACTTGATGAGTTTGCCTGACCCAGAATTTGATCGGAATTTTCGTAACAGGCCAGGATATCGTGCCATTAGTAGAGATCGTGCAATCCACATAACTGTTATTACTGCCATAATGCAGTATATATTTATTACAGTAGACTCGTTTGGTAGATGACATGTTCCGACCAGCACCTATAAAAAATTAATAACTGAGTTGAACAGCCGTGATCCCTGCAAGCGATAGGGCGTGTGGAGGGGGGGGCGAGCTGGATTGCAGCCCGAGCAGCCCTTCCCGCCAACTGTTGCGGTCTTACTATTGGTGGAAAAAGCTGCTCTGGCTGCACTGTAATTCACGCCCCCTCACACGCCCTTTCGTTTGCACAGATGGTCATCACACTGTAGTTACATTATCTTCAGAGATGGTTGCCATCAAGAAAGTAGGACGATTTCCATTGCGCCACGAGAACGAATTGACTGTGTACTCCCAAAATCCACCCATTGGCTGGGTCCATCTATAAAAATTGCAACTGTATTCAAATCGACAACTATCACGAAATGAAACAGTAAGAAACTTCGTAGCATTCAAAGAAACCTTTTCTTGCATCCTCTATGAGTATGACCATTGAAAACAGCTCGAGGTGCGAGTTTTCGTAGAAGCAGTTGAGTGGATTCTTCAGACAACGCTTCCCATCTAGGACGATAAGGACTGTCTCTATTAGGATCATCATCATCAAAATCTTCGTCACGAAGGCAATCGTTGTCGCTGAGCCTGAACCTCCAAACGTAACGTATAACATTCCAGGTAAACTACTGCTACAAATAGGTTCTTAACCTTGGTACTCAGAAATAGTCCCGCGCTCAACCAATTCGTAGGCGTCCTTCCTTTACAAGTAGACTGGTTCGCAGTCTCTAAGACTGTCCTACTTTTGTGGCCTCACAGTAAGTAATGAAAGCGCTGTGGCCTCTAAGGCAAGGAAGGTCGTTCAGGACGTGGAAGACGCTTTTTTGAAAAGCGGTTATCTATGCAATGATGTAGGGTCACGTGCATGGAGTATCAAAGTGACGTTCATTTTTCCTACGCGCATCTGGAAATACCAAAAAAGGAGTGAAAAAGAAATCTATGGAAACGCGCAGGTGGTTTTTGGAGCCTGCGCTGTGAGAGCTTAAAAATGAACTTGAAACTTCGAACCAGTTGCTGAGTGGAGTCCTTATAAAAGGTTACTATTGGAGTGAGAGGAAAAATAGCCCGAATGGATCTTAACCTGAGGCAGCGTCATTGAAGAATGAAAGTTTTCGCAGAGCGGCTTGTCGGGACGCGTTCTTCAACGGTCATAGTGGTGTTCAGCCACAACGATGATGGCGCTAGTGGATGAAACGTTGGAGGATCTCAATCGACGAGTGAGGGTAAGGGTTGATGGTTCGACTCCCCTCGGCGTGCGAGTTTTTGCATTTTTTATGTTTCGCTGTTTTCGCTTCTATAAATGTCTGCTTATGAATTTTACTCGGGTTCCTACCATTTATGGGCACATTCTAAATAGTTATACCCCACAAACAGGTGCCATTCAACAATTCCGATTTCCACATACCATTAAGCAAGAATTTGTCTGAAAGTTGAGCTTTATATGTTATTAAGTGCCCTGATCACGACTATGGCATTTGCTTTCAGCTGTAGTGCCACTTATCCCCAATTTGGAGCCAAGTCTTTCTCCCCTGGACTCGCTATGTACATTCATTTGAGGGACTTTCAGGGCCATTCTGGCACCAGATATCGTCGAGGCCAAGAATAAATGTCAGAATCGTGATCAGGACCGTCGATTACCCCTATAGGCAAACTTTCGGCCGAAAAGAAATTTTTGACTTCCTTCAGTTTGTGTGTTGGGTTATGCTCAGGAATCAATCTACTGAAGTCGTACTTCTGCTGGTTACCGAAACCCTCAATCAGTGGTACGGAGGCATAGTACTAGCAACAACGATAGAAGCCATCGAAAAAAATAACGAAAGGGTTATCATTCCTCCAGGTGCATTTGAAGAAGTGAAGGAAATCGAATGAGTCTCTTGGTAGGGGAGGACGACATCTTGGTTGAGGGAGCAGTCACTAGGGGTCGACAAATGTCCCGAATGGTTTTTCACTTGTTCTGCGGCTGCCCATGCCCATTCCAAGCATGAATGGACCTTATGAGCACCGAAATCCGCATATCGGCTGCCTCGCGGGCCCACGTCGTCGTTACGTCCATCAACCGGACGCTCCAAAGGTGTGAGACTTCGGTCATTGCTGTCGACCAAATGGTCTATCACAACTCAAGAAAGTCAAAAAAATTTTTTGGCTGAAAGCTTGCCTATAGGAGTAATCGACGGTCCTGATCACGATTCTGACATTTATTCTTGGCCTCGACGATATCTGGTGCCAGAATGGCCCTGAAAGTCCCTCAAATGAATGTACATAGCGAGTCCAGGGGAGAAAGACTTGGCTCCAAATTGGGGATAAGTGGCACTACAGCTGAAAGCAAATGCCATAGTCGTGATCAGGGCACTTAATAACATATAAAGCTCAACTTTCAGACAAATTCTTGCTTAATGGTATGTGGAAATCGGAATTGTTGAATGGCACCTGTTTGTGGGGTATAACTATTTAGAATGTGCCCATAAATGGTAGGAACCCGAGTAAAATTCATAAGCAGACATTTATAGAAGCGAAAACAGCGAAACATAAAAAATGCAAAAACTCGCACGCCGAGGGGAGTCGAACCATCAACCCTTACCCTCACCGTCCGATTGAGAATCCTCCACGCTATCCACTAGGCCATCCGATCGTTGTGGCTTGAATCACCGCAATATGACCGTTGAAGAACGCGTCGCGAAGCCGCTCGGAACACTTCTCAATTCTCCAATGACGTGCCTCAGGTAAGACCCCATTCGCGGCTATTTTCCTCTTCCACTCCAATAGTACCTTTATAAGGACCCTCCACTCAGCAACTGGTCGAAGTTTCAAGTCATTTTAAGCTCACAGAGGCTCAAAAACCACCGGTTTCCATAGATTTCTTTTTCACTCCTTTTTTGGTATTTCCAGATGCGCGTAGGAAAAATGAACGTCACTTTGGTACTCCATGCACGTGACCCTACATCATGCAAAAACCGTTTTCAAAAAGCGCTCCACGTCCTGAACGACCTTCCTGGTAAGTGTGCAGCGACGCCTTCCTAGTTATACCGCGCCCAAAAATTCAAAGGCCATTTCTTAAATACATATTCGGTTTAGCTGCGAGTTTCTCGTTTTTTTTTCCAGTGCCTACATGTGGGCCATTGGATGACGCGAATAAAGATTAGGGAACCTGGGAGGCGGCGGGACAGGTCGTTTTTGGGTAAAACGAAGACGCCCGAGGAACTCGTACAGGGCTGCCAGAAGGTCTAACAAGGGTAAGTTCTCCAAGATTTTTTAAGTTTTTTCCTCCCCTGCAGAGTTACTCAGCGACCGCAGTTCCGTAACTGAGTGCCACTATCCACAATGTGCAATCGCTGGATTCGCCTTTGAGTAGCTGATATACAGTCCACGCTGATAAGATGGCGGAGCTGGGCCAACCACTGGTGCCCGTCTTCGACACTCCTCTCACCCGTTTTCAGGAGAGCGCACAAACGGCATATTGGTTGACTGCTCCCGCCCAAACGATCTACTTGGACTTATTTTGAGGTCGGGAAAAGTCAGCACTTCTGCGAACACTTCAATCACGTTCTGTATCATCTTCGCTTAGATGGTACACTTTTTAATCCTCTGAAAGCGATTTTTAACCCTTCACTACCGCGTTGCCTAGGAAAAAAACTCTGGTTTCACCATGAGATGTAGGTCGCAGAAAGGGTTGAATGTCTATTCGAAGAGCGGGCCTCAGAAGCCCCACAAATCCACCAATGCGGAGCATTTACGAAAGCCAAACCTAACTTCCCATGCACATAGCTGATTTCTAGCGACATCTAAGCGACCATTTACCTGAACAAAGGAAAATGCTGAAGAAGTATTGGTCTGCGATATGGCTGAAAACGATTCGATACATTGCTTGGACAGTTCTTCAGTTTCGAGCAATCCAGTTCCTTAGCAACTGCGTCCAGCTCTACCTCTGCCTCATAGCAGAACCGGCAACCATCACCATGTAGGGCCATCGACGTCACAAGAATAAAGGGCTGACCTATCAGAAAACGTTCTTGTGAATAGAGACAGTGGTCATTACAACACTAAAAAGATACCTTTTATCACAACAGCATCAACTTTACTGCGATTGAATCGATTTTCGAACCATTCGACACGAAACGGTGACACTCTTGAATAAATGGTCAAAGGTAAGTAGCATGACGAGGTGTATAGGATAGATATGCCCAGCACCAAAGAGTATTGCTCCCCTGAGCAAGCGCTGCGTGGCGCCGCTATAGCGCCCAAGGCGCAACATGCCGACCCAGACGCCCACCGCAACCGCCCGCCCACAAATGGCCGCGCAGTCACATCGACGCTGGTACTCTTATCGCTTCATTTATGAAGCACAACTGATATGAAGCGTTGCTGCATGGGTATATGAATACATAAATTTATCTGCCAGAGCGGCTGTTGGCACAATGCAAGCAGAAAACTCGGGCGAAATTGCTTTTTGTCAGCCCCATACTCGTCCAATTAAGTGCAAAACAAAGGCTTCTCTCGCAGGTTTTCGACCGTTTCACTTCAACCTTCGTTTCTCGCTATTTTCTCACAATGTGGCACGTCTCCTACCACAATAGCCCGAGCGCAATTTCCGTACCTTGAGCATTTACGTCAAAAACATGAAAAAAGCGTCCAGCCGTTAGAAACCTGACAAGGCGCTTATGTCTGTGAGGGTGCGTCCATAATTCGCGGGCGGCGTCACCAGCGATCAACTCAGGGTTCCGAGTGTCAGATAGCGCCAGCGACAAGCAAGAAGAATTATATCGATCTAGCGCCCACCATCGTCTAGCGACCATCAGCGTCACCAGCGCCTATCAGCGTCCATGCAGCTATTCGCAGCGTGCAGAATCAAGAGAGGGGCAATTAGGAGATAGCAACGACAGGTGGTAGAGTATGGGGAGATAGAAGATACCGCTGCCTGCTACCCTCCTATCGCCTCACTTCCTTCACTCTCCACTTCCGGACGTCTGCTGATCACGGGGGGGGGGGGGGGGGGGGGGGGGGGGGGGGGGGGGGGGGGGGGGGGGGGGGGGGGGGGGGGGGGGGGGGGGGGGGGGGGGGGGGGGGGGGGGGGGGGGGGGGGTAAAAAATAAAAAAAAAACGCTGTCGCCAGTATGAACCAGGCACTAATTGCGTGAGCACTGTTAACAGAAAGCCTCGCTATTTTTGCCGTAACCAAATAATTTTTCTTTCTCAAGTACTGACCTTTTATCAGCAGGAACCGCAGATGAAGTGAAAAGAGTCGCTTAGCAATGGAATCTGGCGGTAAAAGCAGTTGATTCGATCCCAATTCAATCCTGACCTGTGCAGCCATTTTTGAGGCGGCGGTTCCTGAAGGGAGGAGCGTTGAGAATGTCACTATGCTAAGACCCTTTGAGCACATCCTTTATTGTAAGATGCCTCGCGGCGCTTAGCTCAGGGTTGAGCATCTTTCCCCACATCGCATATTTACCCTACACGTGCAGTCAAATTAGCCTGCGCACTGTTTTCAGTCAGTATTTGCTTATATTTCCAAAAGAGTTTAATCAACAAACTCGTAATGAAATCCAATATCGTGATTCCCGGCCAATACGTGAACTGACGGTCCGTCAGATGAAGTGCTGCCGAACAGAGAATCAAAACGATCAGCATATCTGTGAAATGCAGTCCAATCTCCCCATTGCCCTTCATCCATAAGATCACCTGGAAAGGTCTAGCCTCCAAAGTAATACATGTTAATAAGGAGTTCGCCAGAGTTCTGTGAAGCGCTGCAAAGATGAAGCTTCCCTACCTAAGAAGAAAACCGCATCAGGCGCAAGCAAGTGAAGAGCTGTGCGATAAGAACGATACATCTGCCATTCTCTGAAGCGAAAGATCTATGTAATGAACTTTGAATGAAAAAGGAAAGAGAAAAAGAAAAAAAGAATGCATAATTCAGTGCAGAAATTTATCTTGCGATACAGCAAGTGCAATAGGAGCAGCCAGCTCTGTATTGACCCAGAAGATCCGATTTTGTCCGAAGAAGCCTGGATCTTATCCAGTTGGGTTAAGCGGTTAGAGAAACGAAGTTGCCTGGAAATTCAGGCACCGTGTACGCTAACAAGGTGAGGACAATGGTATTTCAACATTGAAAAGCAGGCAGATGCTAAGAGCGCGTCCACGAGGAAGTGGGAGAAAATTTATCGGAAACTCCCGTAAAGGCACGCTATGCATCATTTAACACGTTCCGGACCACATGACACACATGGTGTGTCATATCTTTTTCTCTCTGCGCCGTTTCATGCGGTCTATTTGGCATATTATTCATGCTCCGAAATTATCAGAACACGTTTTTAGGCACAGAATACAAATATCTCATAGAAAAGTGAAAGAAACAGATGAAATTGCTGATTATCGGTTTGAAAAGTAACGAAATTATGCGGAGATCCTCGCACAACGGCGGTCCGGAATGTGTTAATCATCAGGCAACTTTTTAAACAGTCCTGCCCACAAGCACGGAGAAAGTACAACTACCGCAGCTTGAAAATACGTCATAAGGAACAAAAGCAACAGGCTCCACGAAGAACCCAAAGCCTTCAAGATGCCAAAGAAACCCGAAAGTGCGGTGCTTCCCAAACACAGTACCCATTACCAAGCACCTTTATCCCAACAAGCGAAAAAAATTCAAATACCTCCGGAGCTTGTCAAACCAGTGACCCTGCCGTTCACCTAAAAGATGAGTGTCAGCGATGAAAAAAACGCGTAGTTCATTCGTTAGGCATCTGAAACTGCTATTGTTCATCAATTTCATTAATACTGTTTTCTCAGTCAATCACAGGTTACTACACTCCAAATCCCCGTGGTGGAGAGGGCGTGACTGCGTATTTTGAGCGAAGCGGCTGATTCACTTCTGGTGGAAAATCGCCCTTTTGGAACAATTGTGGTCATGCAATTTTATCAACATAGGACAGGCTGAATGTTGCTTCAAATGGCATATCTCACATAAAAGCTCTACTTCCTACTCTATGTTGAAATGTAGTGGCATCCACGCCCTCTCCGTCTACCGGGATATGGAGTGTGCCATATCGACCCACACATTGAATTCCGATCTCTATACAAAGTGAAGTTCTGAAACTTCTTGCTTCCGACTTATTCTCACAAAATAATTATAAAAACCCACTTTACACCATCACAAGGCCAATCGCAGGTGAATCCAATTTTGAAGAAATAAATTAAATATTCGTTAAAGAATAATGTGTTGAGAATTAGAAACAATGGAAAATATGAAATCAAGGCGGTTGGAAGGAATCGCATCCCTCAAACCTATATCCATGAAGAAGAGCTCGCTAAACTGTTTGGCCTGGAACTAAGTTTTATTAGTATTTCTCAAAATTAAAAGAAAAAACTAGAAGTATGTGAGCACCTATACAAGGGATCCAAGAGGCAGAAACATTCAAAATTGCATGAATTTATTCCATTTTTAAACAATGTCGATCAACAAAGTAACAAAATAACAACCTATCCTACTACAACATAAAAGGCCACAATACACGGAAAAGCTGGAAAAAGCTAATTCAAAGCTGTGAAAGAATAATGTACATAGGTCGTTCTCTCTGTAATAAATACATAAACCTACAAGGTCTAATTTTCTGTAGTTAATCCCGTAATAACATCTGGAGGACTCTCAACAAACTTGAGGCTATTGAGACCTTCTTGCACTCTCAGGGTTATGTGGTAGATAATTTTCCTGGGCCTCGGTAGTCGTCATACAACCGTATGGGGGACTCCACCTGGCACACATTTGTCTTCGGGTTTTTGAAACCTGTAAATGTGGATTCATCCAAGAAAACAAGCACGAGTACCGGTCAAGTTAGAACCCCTAGCCAACGAAGCTTTTTGTACATAGCTACATAAGTAGCAGCTAGAAAATAGCTTCGGAGGGGGAGGGGAGGAGTTCATGAGTAAAAAAGCTTCACTAATTAGAAGCCCAGCTACGGTTACTGCTACAAGTCAGCAGGTGTCAAGCGTTGACAAGACAGATCGATGAGTGATTCAGTCATTCAGCAAATGCGAACGGCCCTCTGATAACGGGAAATGGATAAAAGCGGTGAGACTATCCGAGGAAGGAAACAGTCTTCAAAAGAAATCTCTGCAGCTAAGGATGGGCAGCTTAATACCTGTTAGATCACTCGTCACGCTTTTCCAGGGCTCTTAGCCTTTCACGAGACGCTCCGATCCTGCCCTTCTAATCCAGTTCTAAGCGAATGATACGAGGATAGTGGCAAAAATCCCTGGTTCTTCCAATGTCTTGTACTTTCTGTGACTGCTGTAAAGAAGATGCCGCAACAGACATAAGTAGGCAGCTACCTATGCATTCCGTATCCCTGAGACGCTACCTTATGCATTCCGTATCCTGAGACGCGGTAGGCGTGGTCGAGTACTTCATGTGAACGTAGAAACTGGTTTCTCGTGGGATTTTTCGATTTGGGACAACTGTCATCCTGTCTTGTGCGGCTAGAGACAAAGACATGACGGATGCCCCGAATGAGAAAAATCCACAGTCAAAAGCACAGCCGCCGCTACATTCGTAAAGTACCTTTCCTCTCCTACCGCATTTCAGGGACTTGGAGTATACTGTAACTTGAAAGAATCACTATTCTTTTGTATCAGATGCAAACTTGCTTCCCTCTACAGCATTCAACATTACTCTGCCTCTCAAAACGCCTATAACGTGGGTCAGTACCTGCTTCCGAAACTCGACACCTGCCCGCCTGCGCTACTTATTTTTGAGCTCTTTTTTTAACTTTGTCCCAACCAGCACGAAACAATCCAATTATTTCCTGGATGAGCATAAGCGCACTAGCGTTAATGTGAACGATTGCCTTAGACGATACGAGCGAAGGAAGTTTAAACGGACAAATCCCTTCGACAGGGCACTACCACCGAAAGTGTAATAACAGCAATTTGGAAGCGTGTCCCAACGCACAGCACACCACCTAGAAGCTGTTTCAAGACCTAAGGGGTTTTTCCCCCCTTTTCTGTTTGCTAAACGTAAGGCGCACCGTACATCGCAACCGGCCCACGTACACAGCCAGGGGGACCGTGGGTACGGAGCCATTACCCCTGAATCGGCATGCGCTACACTAGTAGAGTACTTCCTGGCTAGTCGACAAGACAGATGCAGCCACAGAGAGAGCTACACGACTGAAAGGATGTAAAAGCAGAGGAAGTTGGCGCACCGAGCAGCACAAGACACTGTTGGGTGGATGGCAATGCTATATACACCTGCCTTCTGCAGCGTCTTTTCTGTCCGCACTCGCCGCGACTTGAAAGTAACGCCCATACCAGTGGGAACCCAGAAGTGCACTACCCCCTTCTGTGCCTGCATCTCCTCGAATGGATCGTATTCTCTTTCGAACTCCATCAAACGGTGCAAAAATTGCTAAAGACTCACCATCACAGTCGATATTGATTGCAATTGTATTCAGTTGCCCAACAGCAAAGACAAAATCAACACCATTCGAGAGCATCAACTGAGAGGTGAATGGACGCGTGATGTCAGTGTATTGAGTAAACCCTAAAAAGTCTTGCATGGAAGTCTGCCCGAAGCGCTACGAAACGACCATACGGTGGCATCACTTACCATGGGTATGCGCTTGGGCACAGAGGTTTGTGAAAAGAGAAACGACTGCTTGCGCTTTTGCACAGTCTTGCCATAGTTCCGCAGTTTCCTCAGGTGGAGCATCCCATTCCTTACATCGATCATCCAGTAGAGCCAACGACTTTGCGGCTACACGGGTGTAGGCGTGGGTTTCTTCTAAATCAGTCAACGGAAAATCACGATTGCCATGGCAAGCGATAATCATTGAATGAACTGCGCTACCTGACTCGACAAAATATCCCGGACATTGCCATAGTGGCTCTTCGTCTGGCCACATATTGAATATCTGAATATTAGAAACGATTACGGGAAAACTTTTTCAAAATTTCAGGTGACGGAACCGCATTCAATCAAAGATGCAAACCTTCGGTGAAAACAGAACGTCGCTGACAACGTCAAGGTCTTCAGGAAATATCGGTTGGCACGCTTCGTCACTTTCTAAGGAGTGTAGAGGAGCAAGAGACTCGCGTGATCTCAACTGAACAGCCAGACGATCACGACAGACGAAGGCTAGCTCACCGAGCTTCCGCCTAAATACATTAAGCTCATTGGTAAGCAGTAGGTCACAAACTGTGGATAAAATTTACTCTTCACAACTAAACAATGCCTAATCAGCAGAGACTTTATTCGAGAACTGAGCAAGAGTAAGGAACAAAAAGGTGAAAAGTCTCTCATACAGGACACGTCGTACGTTGAGATACCCAGCGACAAGAGTTGTATTTGCTTTTGTAAATGTATTTAAATGTTTCCGGTTGTGTGACCTTTCTCGGTTTTTTTTCTCTTTCACGTGTGCTGTATAAACCTTTCCCACCTTGACGGAAGTTTTGTGAGGAAAAGTTTAGGAATTTTTGGAGAGTAAATTTTAACCAAAAAGGCTAGGGAGCAAGCGGAATTCAGAAGGATTTCAAGCAGGACGGAGAAGGAGGCGCGTCGTATTAGAGGGGGACATTTGGGGTTGTATTTGCAAATATTTTATCAGCAAACTGCAGCCAATATGGCAAAATCTCCACTCCTTTTCAATTTCCACTCCTCTTCAATTAATGCAAACCCCTCCCAGCAAGTAAAATACAATCTCATCCCCAGATCAGCTTGAAGTTTCTACCATATTAGTATACCGAAGTACCTTAGAGCTTTTAGAATGACCTGGAATACCCCCTGGGCAAAGCTTTTAGAATTAACTGGGGAAATACCACTGCAAAACACTACAAACAGAGAACAGAACTTTCACCTATGGGCGGCTGTAATCATTTCGATGCAGCCAAGGATTCACTAAAGTGGTGTTGGAAACTGGCTATGGAACCTAATGCGTCAGAACTCCTCTATGATGCGCTAATTTTTCACGAAAAATACGGACATACAGTCCAGAATCGTTGAACGCCTAATACTGTCACTCTCCTCCTATCACTGATCTAAACCAATAGCCCCTTGCTCAATTTTTCTGCATAGCTTCTTTCCCGCCCATAC